CTGCGCACAACTTCGCCCACATAAAATGTTACGTATTGCTCGCTCTTGCTGCAGTATTCTTCACCGCTACAACCATGTACGTGACAATATTTTATTCTGTTATTTAAAGTAGATCTGATCACTGCGCACCAATTGTGGGGATTTCATGCGCCAGTGTTTTTAGTGTCGCATGTTGTAATGACGTCAGGGACCGAAACGAGGTGGACGCTTTGTGCGTCACCGATGGAGCTGAGCGGCCGTGCAAACGTCACGACATCTTGCGCGTTCACGGCACTGCGCGTGTGCGGGACGAGAACCGTTTCATAACTTCGGGGGACAGAAAGAAGCGAGACTATGGCTTAAAAAACCGAACACACCGTGATTGACATGTCAGGGTGCAAGAGAGCTGAACTAGTCAAGTGTTCATTATAAAAGACAGGGCTGGTAGGTAACACGGACACAAGAACACGCATGGTGTCGTCACTGCCTCTCTGTGCCCGTGTTTACGTTCCTTTTACACTTTTTACGTTCCTGCAAGACTTGACCTTTCATTTGACGCAAAAAAAAAAAAAAGTGACCCTCACAATACCTTTTTCAAAGTGCGTCCCATTTTTGCTACGGCGTGCTTCATGATACTGTCGCGCTATTGGCGCGAAAAAGCTTAGATCTATTAAATTTCAAATTCCGGCTCGCCTTTCACGTTTATGTACTAGTTTTGCGGCGCTTTTCCGAAGGGCTGGAACAGCTGCGCTACAGCAGCGCGCAACGGCCAGCCGATGCAGTTGGGGAGCGTGCTCGCACTTCCCCGCTCTCCCCCATGTCACTCGAATATGTCGCTTGACCTTTCCTCCTGAGGTCGACGCGGTCGCTATACCGCTATATTTACGCTGGCCGTTAACAGCCTCTTCCCCACTGACGGTCCACTGCTTGCTTCTTCTCTCTTTCTCTCTTCGACATTTGTTCAGTCTTGCACAGCGGCTCGACGCTGATGCTGCGGTGGCAGCATTCGGTCCATCCATCCCATTCCTTCCTCATCATCCATCCTTCCGATCTCGTCACTTCTGGCGTCAGTGCACTGCGGTGCCTTCGTCGCTGTGCCGAGATCAAGCGACTCCGGTAGCATCGCTGTCAAAAACGGTCGATTAAATTTTTAATCTATCAATCGCGTATCATTTCTAAATATAATCGATTAATTGTTTTGATTTGTTGATTAATCGGCATTTTTATAGGTGCTTTAAAAAGGGTATCCTATCGCTGGACAAGCATTGTTTGTATAAGAATGAAAGCTGCAACAAGTTTGTATGCGTTCATCTTGGTTGATACAGCACACACGAGAGGAGGACGAAGAATAGGAAACATATTGGCCTCGAAGCTTGCCTGCTCCATTCTTCTTTTCATGGTTTTTTTGTTTGTTTAGGAACCTAACACCTTTATATTATTACCTATATTACCTAATTAATCCAACCCTTCCTTTCAAAAAGTGAATCAATTTAAAAAGCAAGGCACCATCCCATTCATGGCCTATCCCCCTAGGTGGGTTGCGCCAAGGTGTTGAGGAACCAACCAACCAACCATCGAACCTATCAGTGCCTGTCCTGTATTTATCATTCTCTGCCGTCCCCTCTCGTGTACGCTGTATCAACCAAAATGAACTCATTGTTTGTTTGATCTCGCCCGAAGCCTTTCTATCAGACGCACTGGAGATCACGTATGTGCAAATTGACGCCTTCATGAAAATTTTTCACTTTCGTCCATTCGACACAGGTGAGCGGCCGTCAAGGGGTGATGTCACGAAATGAAAAATCTGTGACCATTATGCATGGACGATTCGGCAGCAGGTTGTCTTTCCTCAAAGCCTGCCTACTCGAGCGTATTGAAATTGGAGGCGTTTTCAGTGACCCCACTGGTTGAAGTCATTGTTGTTACTATTATTAGGTATGTGTACACAGATACACAAGGATAGAAAGAAAAGAGGGAAAGAGGATGCGCTGGAAACGTCCAGCATGGCCGATGGTTAGGAAATCGCTGGGAAGGCATAACCGAGACGAGGAGACACAGGGAATAAATAGGACGCTCGCACTGCATGTATGTTTGCCCAATGCTCAAATTCAGGCGCATTTTATATGCCAGAGCTCTGGCTTATAAGCTTCATCCTCTCGTAGTCCTCGAGAGACAAGCTTTGAGATTATGCTTAGGTCTTCTGCAATTAGTGGAAACCAAGGTCTTGTATATGGAAGGTAAGCTCCCTTCACTCGCTGCCTGGTTTAAATTGTAAGCAGTAGATTGCTAGCAGTGGTCGTTTTCTCTTCGCCTTCCAAGTGTTGTGCCCATCGTTACAGCAGAAATTGTAGCAAACCAGAATTTGTAGCAAGCGTTCTAGCTCTGCATCCTTCATAATCATATTGTGGTTTTGAGATGTAAAAGCCCAAATAAGAAGTGTGGAACGTTCATTTCCGGGCACTATCAATTACGTCTTACTATCAAATGTAATGGCAGCATTTTGAGCCAATCTGAGTTGATGAAATGGTGAATTTGATGATATGCCAAATCCGCTTTTTTTACATGTTCCTGTTCTGCCCTCTGCAATTTTTCTGCGGAGCCTACAGACCTTTGTTAGGTGATCCTGTGCAATTAATTAACCGGAAAGGCCAGGACAAAGACCTTTCAGATCCAAAAGTACATGTAGGCCTGACTGAAGCTTTTCAAAACATTCTTGCTAAGGGAAAGTCGCATGCGCCGTGTCAAAAGGTGGATTTGACAGCGACCAGAGTAGCACCCAGGGACAGGGCCTCGTGTCTTTTTGTTGAGGTTTTGAATGTCATTAACTTACAGAGCAAACGTATGACGTGGCTTGTATAACGAACTACCATCTCTATTGATGCGCTGGTGGCTAACTCTGTTCACTGTATAACTGTAAAGCAAAGTAACAAATGGTGCCAGGATATTTTTAATCCTGAAAATATGCTTCCTCAAGAGCACACTCGCTTCAATATTAAATATGCCTTATTGGGCAAAATGATACTATTATCCATTCAGAAAGAAGAGTTTGTCAATATTACTCAAAATTTGTTTTCCTTTTAGCCAGTAGAACTTCTTGTGATTAAAATAGCACCATTCTTTCAATTCGGTGGTGTGCCTTCATTTCACTAATTGAGTAAAAAATGTAAACTCAAAGGTGTCTTCACTGCATGGCAATGAAGTGAAAAGTGGCAATCAAGGCACTGATGGCCCAACACAGCAAGTGTGGCTATCTGTCATCAAGAAACACAAGAATGACGAGTGTAGTCTTCATTGGTTCAATGTGGGACAAATTTTCATTGATGACACATGCAGTTGTCATTAATCATTTTGCTGCGAAGTCTCTTGTGACTGTACTTATCGGCGGTCATGAAAGGGTTAACAGGAACAGGCCCCATTTCGCCATGTTTGTGGTTTCGATTCATTGGTACACCCGACGGTGTCACAACGAAACTTTGTGTCCAAGCTGTGCGCGCTCATGGATGGTGACATTGCCAACTTCTTGCACGTGTCTGTGTTTCAGTGTGGACGAAAATATAAAACCAGCCAATGGTACACAGCAGAAGAAGTGCTTGAGGAATCCATTAGAGAATTCTTACGGTCCGATATCAATGCGGGCGAGTGCGGTGCTCTCTGAAATGCCTGTGCGTGGTGCTCCTCAGCCGTCGTGTTGTACTGGCGACACACTGTTATAAATTGACAGATATCCAAGTAGCCATGGATAACTGTCAAATGTCCACTATGTGTCCAAATGTTTGGCTGGTCGGATATTCGACATGGATAGCCGTGGGGCATACTGCAAAAATCTGTCTTGTGTGGCTGTTTCCTGGACGCCAAACTGGATGTTCATAGTATATGTTGTTTTAACATCCTGTGGCTGTTCAAAGAGACATGTCACGGACATGTGCATTTATTTATCAGTGGTGTGTTAGAGTTAACATACAGTAAAAAATTACGTGGGTTTGCATATTCATCCGATAATATTCTTTGAAGTCCTGGTCATGTGTGACAATTGCGTGCAGCATCAAACTTATTCAATTGCGTGCAGCATGACAATGACAATTGCGTGCAGCATCAAAACTGCAGCATCAAACTTGTTCAAATGTTCTTGATATGAACATGTGATATGCAAATTTTAAAGTAGATGAGAATAATATACAACCTGGACAGTCACTCATTTCTAAAAGCCGAAAGTTGCCAACTTATCACTGCTGTGTGTAATCCTAGCGGGGGGCTTCTTTCTCACAAAAAAGAGATTCGTCTCAGGACCAGAGGCATTACAGAGCGGTGATGTTAAAAGTGTCAAAGCCCAAGAAAAAAAAAAGAAAAATAAGTAAAAGCAACAGAATGAATAGAGCCCGAGCATACAATTCTACCTATTGCATTTCGGAGCTGCTCATGATTATTAAATGTCTAGTCTATCGCCAGGCATGTTATTCGTGCCACATGAGTTGTCTAGCAAAAATGATTGGTAGAAGTACAGCAGGTGATAGAAGTAAACAAGTACAGTTTCGCATCGACATTGCCTGCGGTTTCGCATTTCTTTTCAAGTGCTTCTTGACTGGATTATAAGAAAAGGTGACTGCTGTAATTCATGATAAAATCAACGACCGTGCCAGCATCTCTTTATTGCCTTCTAGGTTACAGCGTGATGAAGACAGCGCACCGCGCTGTTTGAGTTTCTCTCCATTGCTCTTGTACATTGTTGTACCACATAAAACAAATCTGACTTTGTGACATAGTCATCAGGCTGGGATACATAAAACGGTCGAGAGATGAGGCAGTTCAGTAGTGCCGGAGGTTGGGACATTTTATAAAACAAAGCAATGTGAGACACCTTTCTAACAATGACGGGAGAGAAAGGTTTGATTTTATGGCAGTTGCTAAGCAACAATAATGAGTGAGTATAAAATGTGCAGCACAGTTTTGAATTGTCTCTAGAGCTGTAATTAAGTTATGTGCAGTTCTGTCTATGAATGACTGATGAATTATTTTCTTTGCAGGAGGACAGCTCATGTCGCAGGGCGAGCAGGAGCTGGCCACCAAGATGCTCCAGATCCAGTCCAAGAGGTTTTACCTGGACGTCAAGCAGAACCGCCGGGGCCGCTTCATCAAGGTGGCCGAGGTGCAACAGGTACGTTCTGTACGCGCGCCCTTGGCCACGTCTCTACTAGCGATGTGCAGTTCACAATTTTTCAGGCGAAGCCTGTTGTACCGACTGACTTGTGAACCTGGCAGTGTTTGGGGGAAAAAAAAAAAAAAGCCAGGCTTGCGCGGTAGGCGCTGCACAGTCAGAGCGAAAGCTAGAAGAGCGGCCTTTCAGAGCCTTTTCAAAACACTCTTTGGGTAACTACTGCAAGCACACTTGCTTGGTACCCACTAGGGCATTAATAATAAACTTTGGGGTAGTAGACAGGCATTCGCTATGCTATTTTTCGTCGTTCTTCTTAGAAGCGTGGTATCTGATAAACACTTGCAAGGAATTTCGTGCCAATTGTTCATGCAGTGGCTGACGACGGTGAGGAATTATGGCTGAAGTGGGTATGCGCCACAGTTAATAAGGGAACAAGAACAAGCTTTTGTGACGATTTGGAGCATTGGACGGCCCACTCGCTACGCTATTCGCATCGTGTGACGACTGGTTGTTCTGTCGCTGTTGTAAAATGCTTTATAAGTGATATTAACGCGATTGCTTTCCCGACATCAAGCCTGCCTAAGGCAAGTTTGACAACAAGTCACAAGCACCGGTGTAGCTCAGTGGTAGGATACTGGGCTGGCACCCAGCGAACCTGGGCTAAAGCCCCATTGTGCCATTGGTGCTAGTTTATGCCTGCCTAAGGCAAGTTTGACAAGTTACAAGCACCGGCGTAACTCAGTGGCAGAATACTGGGTTGGCACTCAGCGAACCCGGGTTCAAGCCCCACTGTGTCATTGGTGCAAGGTTTTCTTTCTACTTTTGCACAATGTGGTTACGGACACTGGCGGTGGTGGCGGACAGCAGCAACTGTGCGTGACCCAAAAAGTGATCTCATAACAGCTTTTGGTGTAAAACCTTCCTCACCTACAGCTGCCAGGCACCAGAAAGATAATGAATATAACTAAAGCACTTTAGTAGTGTATAAATACAATAGTGATGTGCCTAAATATTCCGTTTTTCTGGTTGCAATCAGTGTACAAAATAGAACATGTTAACGCCTCTCACAACTAATTGTCTGAGTTTCAATAAGAGACTGAAAAAAATCTGGTGTGTTCACATTGCTGGTACCATCAGTTATACATCCAGCATTTACTTGTACCTTGTGCATGTAGTCCTAGATGCCGCTTATAATGTTTAAGTAGCCGTTTTATATGCACTTGTATATTTGGATTATTTATCGTGTAGTGCAAATTGCCTATGTACAAAGTGCAGAGTTGACGATACTCTATTTTTTTATTGCTGAATGGTTAAAATGATGAATATTCATAATACTAATTGCACATACCACCCACTTGCTAAGGTACGAGAGGCTGGCAGTATTGTAAATATAAATAAATAAACAAATGAAGGTAAGAAATCTTGTTCCTGGGGCTGGGGTGGGAACCCTCCCAAGAGCAAGTGCCTTTGCCGCTAGGCCATGCACCCACAGTTAGTTGCCCGATGGGAATTGAACTGACGCACACAAATGTGTTCTGCCGATGATACGAAAATCAGTTTAAAATCAATCAGTTAGACCTGCTACAAGTGTTTGATTGCAATACGTCGTTTTGATGGACTGAAAGTGATACGACGGAAAATGCATTAGGTCGATATCTGAAATTTAACATTTATGAAAAATTCCCACCTCGAGAAAATTCAATTTCTGTGATAGTGTTACGGTCCTTCCGTTGGGCCAGTCTTGAGGATTCATTAGGAATGCCAGAAAGAGTATGAAATACGCCTTGCTGATTCAGCTTGAAAACGGCCTTCCAGAGATTGCTGCTACCTATGATAAAACTGAATGCTTATCTCGGGAGGGAGCATTGCACAATGCAAAAGAAAAAAAGAAAGGAGGAAAGAAAACTGGTAGGTTGGGCAGCTCCACGCCCACCTTCGCTTGCTCTTGTAGCCTAGGCCTTAAAGCTTTAGCCCCTTATAACATGACGAACGTGATCACGGAAAAATCGGTCATTTGACTTGTGACGTGTTTCAGATCTTTCCGCAGTCAAACGACGGGAGAATTCATGCTACAAACGAAGATTTCAGCATTAGTCTCCGAGTATCCCGACTGTGATTTGGGCCTCCGTTTCACGAACCGCTCCGCGCTGACCGAAGCTGGGATGCGGAAACGGCTCTCATATTGTGTCCTCGTGCGCAATCCGCAGGCTCAAATCGCGATTTTGTCTGTCGTGTGAATACGGCTTTGGCGGAGGAGCTCCTGAATTTTTGTTATAAGTACATTTAATTTTGATTGTTACATGCAAACTGTTAATTCCCATGGCAATTGGCTGGTACAGTGCCTGTTTAAAAAAAAAAGTATGTATGTGAGACTGTTATATGAAAATGCAAGAAAATCAACTACAACTGTGGAAAATAATTGCTAATGGCCGGAAGAGCAGATGAGAGAAAAATACACACAAACTGGCTATTGGAATGTTCATTTGAAAAAAAAAAAGGGGGGGGGGGAGGAAAAATTCAAAACAAGAGTACATCACTTTGCAGTGAATACAAACTCACTATTGAACAATCGTAAAACATTGATTATCAAACATTCCTGCTTTAATAGTAGAATGCCATCCAAGATATTTGCTTCAGTATACTGTACCAATAATTGCCCTAGGTGATTTTTATTGATTGAGTTTGGTTTGGTTTTTCGTGTTGCATTGTGGAGTGTGATGTAATGAAACCGAGAATGGCTCATATTTTATAATGTTGTAAAGGCATACATGTAACCTCAATTCTCGTATGAAATTGAAAAACGTGGCACAAATTGATAATCGTGCAGGAAATGACGAGGTGGGTGTAATTGCATGCGCTTAAAAAATGTTAAAAGACAGGATTGGGACAGGGAAAGACACATAATCAAAACCAGACAACACAAAGCGATCGTTGACAGTCATTTCATGATGGGTAATTAGTATCGGCGATGATTATTCATAGAGTGCATTGAACGACATCTCCTCGTATACAGGTGATCCTTTAATTTAGTGTTCTTGGTGTTCTTTTGTGTTCTTTTATTTGCTGTACAAAGATGGCAGCACTTTTTCAGTGCATCAAAGCAGCATAATATTTTAATCGTACATACTCTGTGGGATCAAATTTCGGCCATGGTGGCCACATTTTTGATGAAGACAACAATTCTTGAGGCTCATGTAACTTATTTTTAAGTGCACATTAAAGAACCTAAGGTGGTCCAAATATCCAGAGGCCTCCACTACAGTGTCTCTCATATACAGTGTCTTTTTGGGGTATTAAATATTATTATAAACTCTGCTTTTTGCAATATTAAGTGACTATTTTATTGCGAGTGGTTTCATCATTATCATAGTCATGATATATGGGCCCCTTAAGGGTCCCTCGTGGGGCATTACAAGAGGGATGGGGGTGGCACAAGCAGTAAACACGTCACAAGAAAAAAAAAATAGTTCAAACTTCTGAACAATCATAAAGAGGCATCTTAAAATGTACGCACATAAAACGTACACATAAAAAGAATAAAGCAATGTAGGTTGTGTGTTAATGTTCTCAATGGTAAGTGTGCTGTTAGTTCACCAAAAGTGGGTAATTCGAGATGTAATAATTAGAAAAACTGGATAATTCAGGCGTGTTCTTTGGTCCCAGCAAGAATATCTATTGTTTAGTGGCATCAAGCTTCCGGCTCATTCGGGGATATTTGGCCACAACGTCGTTGATTTCGATGGTCTTTAGGTTGTGACGTGCACAAAGAGTGACAAGTGTGTTACGCAAAGGCTCAAGAACATCTTTCGTGGACAACTGAAACAGTCGCGGGTTTTTAGAAAAGCAAAACTGAACTCCACAATTTTGCCACAATTGCGTTTCTGGCAACCAGAACTTGAGTTGGTTGCAGCAAACTTGTTTCATTTTCAATTTTTCTTGACACACGCGGCTGTGTAGGCACTATCTGTGGTTGTGTCCATGGTGATTAGGGTCAAAGCTGCGACGAGCAGTAGTTTGATTTTTGCCTCGTCCCTTCAGAAGTGCATAGTTGCCATCTGTGATTGAGCATTAGCGAGCCAGGTTTTTTCAACATCAGGTGCAGTGTTCAACAGTTTCGTTTCAACACTAAACGTAGGGCATGGGTATGCCTTTGTAATTGCGTGGACGCCATGTTCTTGTCTTCAGCGACCGTGCATTTCATCTGCTATGGATGCAGCTTTCAGTAGCACATGTCAGCATTGGGCAGCGTGCGTGCAATGTTACGAAACTCAAATACGATGTACATTGTTGAAGATGAAGAGCTTTTGCTGCAATCTGCATAGTGGCATAAAATTCGCTTGCTACGTTGGGATGAACTATCGGTTGCCGGCCACTTTTTCGGCAAAAAAATTGTGGTCACATGTGTGGGGTGGAGTTGCTGGCAGGGGTGCGAATGAAGGGATTAGAGCATGTTTCGACTGAAGGTGCAGAGGTCTTGAGCCACAGTCACATATTGAATGACGAGAATTGCAGTTCTTACTCTGCTCTCTTCCTATGCAAGTGCCAGATTTATGTATTCATTGTTTTATTGATTGTCTTTCAGATTATTTCAAATTCAGACATTTTTTACAGTCCCATAAAACTTGAATTAATGATCTTTTATTGTATAACTGCATGAGTACTTTCTTGCATGAGTAGCACTATGCAATGATGGTTTCATGTGTGCTAGTCCATTCCTTGATGACGACATTAAAGAAAATATAATTTAAATGCAGTCGTTATGCAGAAATGTCCTTTGAGGCCGCTGGTGTCAAATAGGCGATATGATTAGTGGGTTGGAGGCAGTAATAAAGTAAGTATAATAAAACACAATACAGCCAATTATACAGTAAAAGACCAAGTTTATTAGCCATGTGCTTCACTTAAAGAGGTCATCAACCACATTTGCAATCAATGAGCAAAGGACCTCAGTATCGGAGTTCATTACCTCACAAGTTGATTGCTGCAAAAAAAGTTTCCGCAATCCACCAACATTTACTGAGATTTGTTGGGCACTCAAATTGCTCTCTTTTTTCAAACATCCCGATGAGCATGCTCGAAGCCAAGGCAGGGAGGAATGCCTGGGGGAAACGCAGTTACAATCAGCGTGCATTGTGACCTTGAGCACGCACGGTGAGACGCGATCGCTCTTTCCCGTTGTTATTTTTGTGCGGGTGTGTGGCTCACTGTTTAATGTGGAGCATAGTGCCAATGCTCCACAGTGCCTGTTGGCACTGTGTAGCATAGTGCCAACAGGTGGTGTCACCCCATGGCACGATGCACGTCTGATCCAAACTCTGCTTTTGATTTGTCAGGTTTTAGCCAATGACATGCTTTCTGTTGTTTGACATCAAACAGCAGGCGCTGGTAGCTCAAAAGAGGGTAAGCCTCTGTATTAAAAGAAGGTGCCTGATAATATGATGAATTTGCTCTCAGCTTTTTGTGAACTCTCTTTGGCATGCACGGTGGCAAGATTTGGCCGAGATGTTCGTAGCAGTGCTGGCTATCTGCAGGATGTGTTTTCTCACCAAGCCAGGGCTACTTCATAACTTTTTACTCTGGCAGAGTATTCAGAGGAGCTCTACGTGAACTGTTCATTTAAAATTTTTGTGGACTGTTCATTTTAAATTTTAGTGAACTATTCATTTTGTCTACTTTGTACCGGCCGTAGCTTTACGAGCCATGTGCCCTGTTACCAGTTATTCTTCCTTGATGTCATTTTGACGTCCTGAAGCTTCCACAACATTTGACAAATTTAAGTGGCACAGAGGGCATTTCAATACAGTTAACTCAGTCTCCCCTCAGAAAATCTCAGCGGCCTTCTATTAACTCTGATTTTGTGGTTGTGTTAGCTCTCTAATTAGGTTTAATGTGGCCTGCTGCTTAAATCACCTTCACGATTATGTCATGGCTTCCGGCTTTTGCTGTTACTAAACATGCTTTGACAGCATCAGGCCAAAGTGGTCATGTCCACTGGATAGTTTCAGAAGAGCTCTCCTGTTTCCTTAAATTCATGACATGACGTTGAAGCAAATGTGCTGCAAGTGGCAAAGGAGAAATAATGCGTCAGTATTGCTTTCCAAGTAATACAGAAAAAGGACATTTACTTTGGTCTACATTGCCGACACACACAGATGCCCACAACTGATAATGTCACTCTAACTGAGGCACTTTCTTATATGGGCTGCCATGCAGAGCCTGACTACATGGAGAGCCGAAAACTGCAAAGTAAACAGCACTAGTCCAGCACCTCGAACAATTTGTTGATGATTAGTCCGTGGTAGATTCTTATACAGATGAATATGTTTGTTGATGTGATAACGCGTGTGCCTAGCGTAATTCATTTCATACAAATACAACTATTAAATATTACTTATTTCAGTTCCGAATTTTTTTTGAGAAATCGCGTAAGGATGTCTGCTTCACTATAATATCTGGTGGTCCCTTCTATTCATTCACAGCTTGAGGAAAAAAAACTAAATTTAAGCACTTGTTTCGAGGCACTGTGTAATGTATCATACTTGCATCTCAGTTTCGGGTTCAAACACATGCAGTTGTCAAATCGAAGTTGTCTAAGAAGGTTCAAAACAACTTGCAGTTGTCAATGCTATGAAAGCATGTATATTTGACTTGAGGACTGAATTGAGTCGTAGGATGCTCTTCTCGTCTTTTGTAAATCTTTCTGATATCTTAAAAATTTATGTTTGAGCTGGCAATAACTTTGTTCACTACTGTTTGTCATTAATGGCGCATGTTGTTGAAATGTGTTGCAGGTCGGGGTAGTGGGTAGGAAAAGTCGTCTCCTCCTCGCCATGTCAACAGCGGCTGAGTTCCGGGACCACCTGACATCCTTCAGTGAGCTGTACGCTTCCCTGGGTGAGTCTGGCTCCCCTCTCTATTTTGATTATCTTTGTGTTTCATGAGAACTGAATGTACACCTTCCTCGGTATACCAAATTCTCAGATACAACTTAGTAACTAAGGAATGGCCTTGCTACTGTTACCATGTAGTAACGGGCAATTGGTATAATGGTGCTTTCTTTTTTTTCATGAGAGACTGGGACTTGATTAGTTTGCACTTTGACAGAGGTGCAGAAGGAAGGCGTGCCTTTGTACTAATGACCGTTGAGTTTCCTAATAATAATGCACTAGAGGGAAATCTGGCATTAGCTGCAACACATGCCACTTCAGCCAGTTCAGGAATGGTGGTATAGATTTGTCTAAGCTTCATTCTTATGGCTCCATTTGGCTTCGTGTGTCTCACAGTTGCTTTGTTGCGAGGCAAAGTTCAGCAAAAGTTGAGCTATCCCACTTCACCACTTTGATTAATGAGAAATAACAGAGAAAGATGCCAAGAGAGGTATAGAGGACGTTATTAGGAGCAGTTGTAATGTAAATGTGAAGAAAGAAAAGTGGACGAAAAGATGACTTGCCACCGGCAGGATCTGAACCTGCATCCTTCGAATAATGCGTCTGGTGCTCTACCACTGAGCTAGGATAGCCGTCATTCCCCCCCCCCCACCCGTCCAATTTATAGAGTATATGTATACGTGCATTTAAATGTGGGAACATCAGCTAGCACCACCTGTTGCCAAGGCGGTGGTTGTGGAACACTTTCTCTTGCGTGTTTGACGTGACGTAGTACAGGATCTTAATATGAGATGGCAGCCGACCAATTTTCCCCTGCATACCACCTCAAAGCATTGAGTCTGCCAGAACAAGACACTCGCTATGAATAAAGGAAAGAAGTGTAAACTTAGGGGATTGTTTTTTTGTTAGACACAATATTATTGAGAACTAAGACAGTGGTGCCAAAGGAAGTATAGGAGATGTTATGAGGCGCAATTGTAATGTATACGTTCACTTCTTCCTTCACCACTTTGACCCTTATAAGTTAACTGAGTCGAATCGGCTCACATTCAGTCGTTCTTTTATTCAGAACAACAGCCAAAAGACAACAATAAACAAAGCCACAAGCGCACTCGAAGCTGCAAGCATGAAGATTAGGCAAATTTGCGCATTGCTTGTCACTCCTGTGGTGGCTGAATTATTGGTGTGCCAGAGTTCTCTCTAGTATACATTGTAGGAAACGCTATGCTCACGACCTTACTTAAGCTTTAAGAAACGTTTAAAGGGACATTAAAGAGGAAAACAGTTATTCATCTAAAGGACAATTTCACAATCTCGAAAACGCCACTCTTACCGCGGCATGACGCTTGGTAAGCGAGGAAACATGGAAGAAGGAAATGCGGGTGGCGACACCACCTTGAGATTTCGGCACCAAACGCTGTGACGTCATAGACGTTGAAGCCATCTACTGGGTCCTATGTAGCTTCTAATCAGTAAAAACAAGGTCCATTGTCATCTCTGGGTGCCGTGGACCTAGCATACAAACTTTCAGAAAATTTTGTTAAGCCAATATTGCAAAAATACAAAAAACACATTCTGAAAATTTTGACATATGCACAGAGATTTCAGCACAAGATTTAATAAGGAAACTACAACCTTGAATTTCTCCGCTAATAATGATCTTATGATGGTGAAACATATGGTACTAGAGTTTTGAGAGTGCAGTTTGTCTAGCTAAACCACGTCGTTTCTTTCTCTCTTTAGTGTGCCTTTAGTGAGAAATAGAATGTGACCCTCTGGTGTCGTCAATACATGTGCAGCGAAAAATGGAAAAGCATGATAAACATTGTCGTCATCATCCCCCCTAATCATCAGAGCAGCATGTAGTATCATGTGATATAGTCATCATCCCCCCCTAATCATCAGAGCAGCATGTAGTATCATGTGATATATAGACTAGACATAGGTAAGACTCCTACATAGGTAAAACTGCCAGATGTTTGATTGAGTGTATCAGGGAGCATGAGCAAGAAGGGGAGCAAGATAAGAAGAGTCCAAATTTGCCTAAGCAAGTCAGAAACTGCCCATCAAGTTCTTGTGGACCCCACTTTTCTGACGTGCGGGTTATCGTCAGAGATAAAGACAAAACAGCCAGAGAACTGATGAAAGCGTTCGATATCGGTATAAAAGGTGATGTGTGTGTTAGTGACACACCTGCAGTGCTATTTAAATGTGAGGAAATGTTCATTGAGCATGCACTATTGGTCCACTGTCGATGTGAACATGTTCTCTGCACATGCGCTGACAAGGATATATATGTATGCGGATTTCTGCAAATAAATCAGTAATTAGTGGCCCTCTATACCGTGTCCTCTCTAGTGTTTGCATTTCTTTTTCCGTGCCTTAAAATAAAATAGGGCAGAAGAGTATGTAAAGCATGTAAATAGATGAGAGAATGCTGCAAATGTGTGTACTGGCGTTATTGTTACCATGCTCTTACTGACAGCACTCAGTTTCAAACATGCATAGGCTATTTGTGTGAGCGCAGTGTACAGTACATGCGGATTGAAGTGGGACAACTTAGGGCTAAGTAATGCACATACTTCCGTGTCCACCTTCTTCATTTTGGGTCATGTCGACACAATTTTGACTCTAATGCATAGATCAGAGCCAATATTACCTCTAGAGACCAGATTCGTCGCCATATAATGTGGCTGTTTTGAGAGATACCAGTTGTTGTGCAGAGAGTTTTGTTGTCGCGTTTGAATCTGCGAACATTGTACATGTCTCAAGTTTCCGATTGGCAAGAGTCATTGCAGCTGTGTTTGTCTTGCAGGTCCCCCCAATCCAGAGAACCTGCCTGAGGATGGCAAGTTGAAAAGTGAGATAATGATTAAGGACAATAGGCGCTACTACCTGGATCTCAAGGAGAACTCCAGGGGGCGATTTCTAAGGGTGAGTTCGGCTGGTGCCACTAGCCAAAAAACCTTTTCTGAGCGTGTGATGGTGCGTTTATACGCATACAATCGATTCGAGGTGTGATGACTAGGCTTGTGCGAATATCTGGCAAATATTACGGTATTCGGATTCACTTTGATTTGAATTTAAGTTTGTAGAAATTTCAAAGTATTCAAAATGAATGAATAAATGCATGTTAGTCTGCATGTAGCCCCTGTAAAGGTGGTTTTGCTGCAGTGGAGATATGTTAAGCCATAAAAACACCTGTTGAAGTGAGCATTAGTTTGCATTTAAGTTTCTGCTAAGATAGTTTCAATGCAGCATAGGGTTGCTAAGCTGTGAAAACACCTATACGAGGTGAAATCCACACTGTCATGGAGCCCCACTTCAAGTTTAAATGAATATATGACCACCTCAACAATTCATCATTTTTTAAGTTTTGAAGTTTGTTGTGCTGCCTTATATGCTCGAAGTGTAGCGTTAATGTAAAATGTAACATTTTTTACTAGGTTGTCACTTCCATTCTACCAAAAGCCAAATCATGCTACAATTTAAAGTAGTTCGCACTTTCCTTGAACCGAAAATATTGCCATTTGCGATGTTATTTACTTGGCAGCTGGACAACCGCCAGCTCAAGGAACAGATTGATGCATGCAGTGCCTGGAAAACAAATTCCAGTTTATTCATTATGCAACGTGTTTTTCAACGCTGCACAGCTAATCGGAGGGTGGCAGGAAAGAAGAAGAAAACAAGATAACATAGCAAGCATGCCGATCTCATCTGAAGGCCCCAACGTAGAATGTGGCAAGCACCGTGAACGTTACAGCATATGCCTTGTTTCAATTTTAAAATACATTGTAGAGATTAGTTGGGTCATCAGAAATGTGTTGATATTTCTTCATAATATATGATATATATTGTAGCAAACAGAAAGGAAAGAACTGCACATAAATGTCTGGCTACATCGAAGATATTAAAACAACTGAGCGAGCCAGCACCCATGGCTGTTGCTCTTGCCCAGAATCCTTCTTCCACCTTTATTTGCAACACTCCCACAGCCAGCAAAGTTGCGTACACTTTGAGCGAGTCTGTCAGCAGGGGTTATCATGCAACGATGGAAGCTGCTGCCTGTAATGTTCAAGCTTGGGGAGGTGGCTGTTCTCACTCAGGTCTCCAGAAGACTTCACAGTAACGTTTTGTGTTATCGTTAGCTTTTGATCCTGTGACCCGCTTCACTTGCTTCCCTGCTTCGCGCTGCTGGTCCCCATGACACAATGCAAAAACTCATGCTGGTGGCCTTTGCGCGTAGAAAGAGTCTGACTTTAGCCTGCTCTTGTAGACTCGCAAGGTTTCCTGGTAATCCGCGTGGTGCTCAAGATTTTGTTGGCTTTTATGTCAAGGTTCTGCAGGTCCTGCTCGAATGTGTCCCGCTCGATCACTTTAGTTGCCAGGTAGTCCTGAGTGTGTGCCAGGCTCGCAGGTGCATTCGATCTGCATGAAGACTCCAAGGTCGATGACGATTCTTCTTCCTTGCTCGACGAGGTCGATGCCGAACCATCCTGGCTTCGTCGGGCGGATGACCTCGCCAAGGACGAGAATCTCGTCAGCGTTCGCAGGCAACAGTTATTCACCCACGTGCTCTGTTGCTGGTAGTGTTCGTCCCGCGCGGCATTGCGAACGGTAACGTACATTGCGCTGACATTTTTGGGTGCAAGATTCTGAGCCATGGCTGCGTATTAGGAGATATCATCTCCCGGGTCTACCGACGACTTGTCTACCACTGTGTGTCCCACTTTGCCAAAGTCCTCGTTTCCGCCGGTTTCCTGCGTGATGCACGAGGCACAGTGCTGGAGCTGTGCAGTGTAGCAATTGTAGATTCAGCGCATGTCTCTAGTGTTAGGCGCCATCTTCTTGTGGTATTCGGCAGCGTCAAACACGGTCATGGGGTGCATGTACCCTCTTGAGTGCTGCTTATTGTGGTACTGCTGCACGCCGTTCCGATCGTCGCCTTGCTTGGGCTTGAAGGAAGACAAACTCTAGATCCTACTGCTAGGATCAGGCTCGAGGAGCATGTATTGCGAGAAGTAGAGTTTTGCCTGCTGTTGCTTCTGGGACAAGTCTTGGAGGCACACCTGTACTGTGCAATGAACAGTGCATGCTCTCGCTCTCCTGGTTTCTGAAATAAGACCGCTTTGGCAAGCTGTAGCTCAGGCTGTGGGAAACCGGGTCCGTAGTTCGATGCGCATGGTGCACTTGGGGTTTCCCTTGGCCATCGGCCTCTCTACGGCGTACATTGTGATCGAGTCCTTGCATCGAAACACCATGGATCGCGTGGAAAGTTACAGGTCTTTCACCGTGCACCCGAAACTCGTTGGTGTTGTAGTTGGCGTTGGAGTGGGGAGGTCGGCTGGAGGCGAAGTCTCAGCCTGCTGCAATGTTGATGGGAGAGGAGTTGTGAGGCTGGTTGAAAGCGAAGTCGCGGCTCGCCGCAACACTGACGGTGAGAAGGATTGAGAGACTGGTCAAAGGAAAATTCGTGGCCAGCTAGCAACGTCGAAGTGAGGCGAGTCCAGAAGTGAGGCGAGGGCTTGGTTGCGCGGCGAAGTCTCATTTCAGCGCAGATGACTTTCTTTCTTCACGTGCTTGTCGGTGGTAGCCAGGTCCACTTCCAGCTCCTCAAAGTGAAAGCGGGCTAGGATCTCATTCTCCAAAAAAATTAGCCTGGAGTTCTTCGCCATGATTAGGGCGAGTACCTCCTGGAGCCTCTCAGCAGGGTATCACGCATTGAGATATGTTGCAAGATGGCTGCTCGGACAAAGGGGCGCTTGGTGTGGAGTTGATCATTGGGTGAGAGTCGACAACCACACGATCTGGTGGGTTTTAGCACTAGAACAAAGTGTAGAAAATGCTGAGGAGAGAACTGGACCCGGACGTCTGGCTACATTGAAGGTATTTGAACAACTGAGCGAGCCAGCGGCGATGGCCGTCGCTTGTGCCCATATTCCTTCTACCTCCTTTATTTGCTACAATATACTATTCGAGTTCGATTCTAAATGATTTGAACTGAATCGCCATTTGATTTGAATTTGCTTCAAACCAAACATTCACTATTTGCGCAAGCCTAGTGACGACACTCACACCGCCTATGCCAGTGGCTGGTAATATCGAGAAGCATACCTTTCAACTCTCTCGGTCTGTAGTGAAGACTCTCGAAGTTTTGGCAATTTTTCCAGTTGTACAGGCATGGCCATAAATCTCTCGAAATACACGTTGAAGTTTTGGCAATTTTTCCAGTTGTACAGGCATGGCCATAAATCTCTCGAAATACACCTGCAGCCCTAACGAGAAAAAAAAAGTATTGAATTTATAAAGGGCAGTGGTTCAAAATGACAGGCTTTGATCTTGTGTGCTAGGAGCACTTGTTAAAGAGGCCCTGCAACACTTTTCAGAGTTATCGTCGAATGGCTTCATTAAAAGAGCTCATTGCCTCATGAATTGACTGTCGCGAAAATCTTCAGAATACGTCAACTACAAGCACAGTTTGAGGGGTTGGCCGCACGCTTCAAGTGCTTTCTCTCTCCTTTTTGTACCCGCAAGCGCCCTGTAAGCTCCGCGTGGCAAGGACGACAAGGAGTGCGGAAGATGTGATACCCCTTCATCAGCGTGTTATGGCCATGAGCATTTATTTTTATTTTTCTTCAAAAACGCGTCTTACCTTCAGTGTGATGACGAGCACGGACGCAGGCACGGGGCGGCATGCGGCGGCAGCCACTGTAACTATGCCGCAATCAGCCAATGGCTGCACACTTTGACCATGGCGTGGGGATTCGGGTTTGCGGCATCATTTGTAGAGAGAAGAGGGAGCAATTTCGGGCTGGCTTTGAGAATTAGTTGACAGTTAGGTGCCACATGCTGCGTTGTAATATTTGGCTTGCATGTATATCTGGAGTGTGGATTACAGATTGATCGACAGTGTTTTTTGTCCATGCTAAGAAGTGTTGCAAGGCGCCTTTAATGCGCATAGTATTTACGATAGCTAAGAAAGAGCACTCTTATGGTTTGAGCAGGAAGCAGCTAACATGACTAAGTTTGAAAGATCTTAAAGCAGGTGCATGATCAAGGGCAGGCTTTCATGAGCTTGTACTATTGGCATCAGTAAAAAAAAGACAAAAGGGCAAAATTTTAGCAGAAATTTATTATTTCACTGCATAACCTTCTCCCAATGCCCAATCTCCCTGCCAACGGTGCATTGCCGCAGGCTCATGTGAAAGAGAGAGAGAGAATAAACTTTTATTTTGAGCAAGCGCACTGTCCGCCTAACGTGGGCAGCCTCCTTATTCCAGGTAGCTGTGAGCCTTCGCGATCTCCCGCACTTTTCGAGCCAGACTTCGCTGATCCTTCAGGCCTGGGTCCCATGACTTGGCCTCCCACTGCTCTTTGGTCAGTGCACTGGTTCCAGGGTTTTGTCTGCATCCCCACACCATATGGAATAGAGGTGTCCGGAATGTCGAAGTACTTGCAGATGTATGAGTATTCCACTGGTGAGACGCGGTGCAGTAGTGTACCATGAATGCAGATGCTCGTTTGCGGCTGGCTGGCTGAGGGTTACTGCCTCTGCCCTAGTTAGGCTGGAGTGAGCTGGCAAATAAATTCTTCTGGCTAGCCTGTAGTGCTGCAGTATTTAGCTGTTCGTTTTGAGAGTTCAGGAGGAGTTTGATTTGAGCTATGGCTTCTTCCATGTCCCGAAAATGTTTCCCACGCTGTGTACTTTTATACAAGGAATGAGGTAGAGGCGAGAGGGCAAATGAGTATGATGGATGGGTGAGGCGAAAAGGCTGCACACGCTTTCACCTTTGATGAGCGAGTTGGATGTTCCCGATTGGTGCTGTCACTTTTGTTTTGGTGCGCTAATAGTGTTGCATGGCATTATGTAAAATGGAAGTTAAAACTGGACAGCACTCACTTATTTTGTCACCTCTCCTGTGTGCTTTTTGTAAATTTCTCGGATTGAGAATAGAAGCCCCTTGTACTAAACTCTCTCTATGCCGAAAACTCTTTATTAAGCCAATATTTCTCGTTATCATGATCACGATTCATTATGGAGACCACACTCGACCTTGTTTTCAGGTAGACTAGAAATGTTAGTTCAAGCAGTCTTGAGTTTTCAACTCCAAATGCGTATCTTGAAATGCATGGTTGCATTTTTTTTCTCAAAAATTGCAAACGAGAGGTGTCGTCTACCAGGCATCTATCTTGGTTGCGTTCAACTGCCATTGAAAGTTTTGAAGAATGCACGAAACACCCTTTAGAAGAGTATAATATTGGCAGTATTTTTCTAATGCCGTCATCCTCCTTTAGAATGCATTTTGCAGTATTTTTTTTTTTCATACCGTAGGTGATATCACTTTCTCAATATCACAAATAATGCTTGTTTAGCCAATCTATTGTCTGTAATAATTATGTCATCAATGATTCCTGTCCTGCTTACCTTGTCCTATTTTTTTTTTTTGTCATGTACATGCCCGTTGTTGTTCCCTATGCAGTTACGACTGAGATGTCGTCCAACAGTCTTTGGAAATGAACTTGACAAAAAAAAAAAAAAAAAAACTCCGCAGGTGTCCCAGACGATAGCACGAGGTGGTCCTAGGTCTCAGATCGCCATCCCCGCACAGGGTATGATCGAGTTCCGCGACGCGCTCACGGACTTACTAGAAGAGTTTGGCACGGACGACGGAGGTGAGTTTCCCGCGTTTGTATTCACACGCTTGTCATAGTGATCTGTGTGTCGGCCGCGTCTTTAGACCCACTCGATCAATCGCACCTCGTAAGTGTGGTCTCGTCTTTACTGCGTTCAACCGAGCCTGTGCACCTGGCAGTCATGTACAGCCGCAGTGAAGAAAACTCACAGGAAAACTGATGCAAAGATGAAAAACCACCAAGAGCATCAACAATTACTGCACTTCAAGAAGCAGAGCTCCCCGTCCCTTAACCTCAAGTATGCACGACCAACTAGCCCAGTCAGCTACTTTGTCGTAATGATGTTATAAATTTTAGCGACTTGTGACATTATGATGCTGTCACACGGTGGCATAATTTTGACGCGACGGTGATTTTTCGCATCTCTTGTCTTGACACCTGACGACACCTGCCTGAAGCGAAATGCCAGTCAGTTTTTGCATTTGATGAGGCATCTAAGAGTTTCGTCTTGAAAGAGATGAGCCAATTCCACGCAGTGAAAGCCGTCGATACAGTGTACGTGCTCTCATGCCAAGCTAACTCTTCGCGGGGAAGGAATTTCTTGGGTGTACGAGAAGTAGTGCTCGTGTTCGAAACGAGCAACGAGCACGCAAACCCCCGCTCTTATACCCACAGCTGATTACCTCGTGTCTACCACACGCCTTTTCCTGACGCCTAGCACAGCCTCACTTTTGTCACCACATCTCCAGCCCCCTAAAATAGTCTAGCCCACTTATAACAATCCCATTATTAACAATATGCTGGTTATAACCATGAAAAGTCGCTACAGCATCGGCATTTCTATGTTTTCTGTGGTAATGTAACCCAATTACAGCAATGCCCGCACGCCACACTATCAGTTATAACAATGAATTATGCCTGTTGGGTGTCCATTCTGAGAGATCATGGAACGTGAAATCCTCGAAAGGAAAGAATAAAACAAGGAATTTGAGCTGCTGAACACATTACCACAACTCCTATGTACCCCAGCATCCCTACGGATTATTGTTATGCTTCACTGAGCAGCGCTATGACATTGAAGCAAAGCTGGCTTATAAAAATCGATATGGCACTGTTAAATTACTTTCAGGCGTGAAATTCGTGTAAAAAGTTGACACTTTGCAGTCTCAGAGTCCGAAACTTCAGGCCTTGTCACGCAGTGGCTCTCTGGGGCTTTTGGCGATCTCACGGAAGCGTCCAAATTTTCAAGCTTGTCAAAAAAATCAGCAGCTTTCTTATCCTTATCAAGATGTGCTGTCGGTATAGGAGGCCTGTTAAAAAGTATCCAACCTTTGGTGGAAGAAAAAAAAACTGGCATAATTGGAGCATTGGAAACCTAATCCCCTTCAAAGTAGTGCCGTTGGCACTCCACACACTTCTCCCAGTGGTGCTGTCATTGTTGTAAGCATTCTGAGAAGACCACTTTCGGAGTGGAGTTTAGCTCAGCAGTCGTTGCAGCCATAATGTCCTTCCTTGTCCGAAAGCACTCTCTTTTCAATGTCCTTTTGAGTTTGGAAATCAGCCAGAAGTCGCAGGGAGCCATATCAGGAGAGTAAGGAGCCTGTTGAACTACAGGAGTCATCGTGGATGGACCAATTTCCCGTTGACCACAACTAAGGTCTCTTGCACCGCACAGTATCACGTAGGCTGTGGAGGACATCCCTGTAGTGCTCTTTGGTGATTGACCCTGTGGTGCGTACGTGTGGTGCACTACACAGTGGGAGTCAAAGAAAGCACTCGGCATCACTTTGACGTTGCTGCGCACTTGGCGGGCATTTATTTTTTATGACGTGAAATGCTTCCACTGTGACGACTGGGATTTGGTTTCCGGGTCGTTCCCGCACACGCAAGACTCGTCATCAGTAATAATGGTGTTAGTGAAGGTAGGGTCACTGATTGTGAAGTTGAACATGTCCTGTGAGACTGCATTTGCTCTACCTTGAGCAGTTTTGGCACGAATTTCGCCGCAACACTCTTCATGGCCGAATCTTCACTCATAATGGATTTGCAGAGAAAGTGCTGATGTCCACCTTTTCCGCAATTTCCCGGATAGTCACACAACGGTCCCGCATCACCACAGCGTTTACTTCGGCAATGACCTGGTCATTTTGGTATTTTGATGGCTTACCGTAGTGTGGCATCACTCTCCATCGATGTGTGGCCATTTTTAAACTGGTTGTACAACTCCTTAACCTGTGTGAAACTCATAGCGACGTCACCGAAAGCCGTCTTGTTTTTTTGAGTGGTTTCCACTTGGCTCTCCCTTAGTTTCTGGCGAAATTCGATGCAGTAGCACTGCTCCAGTCAGTCCGTCATATTTCTTGCAATGGAAAACCGGCCAAAGCACTGTGCACTACCTCACTCAAACGCTGCACCCCAGAAACTGACGCTATTGGCAGGTGGGAAAAAATTCACGCGTACGCACGAAAGTAAAAAAAAAAAGTTGAATACTTTTCTAACAGACCTCGTATATATCCAGTTTGATATAGTTTTCTGAGAGCAGCCAGCTTTCCCTACTTTTTGCTTTTTTTGTGCAACCCTTATAGCAATTAAAGGTTATAACGATAACATTTTCATGGCAGTGGAGGCAAGTTACGCCAGTTTAGAAGTGTACCTGATGTGGAATTTCAGCGGCAGAGTTGGAACAGTCAATGGATTCTGTGAGCGAGCGCTCGACCCTGGCGCAGAGCAATGCCTCCAAATCCTTGCCTCCATAGCAAGCATGGGAGCAAGGAAAAAGTGGAAGTGGTCGAGTCGCTCAGAATATTTTGCATCTAGTAATTCTATTCCGCTGTTGAATTCTGTCAAATTCCTTCTCGTACGTGACAGTTTTGGTGTCACTGTCATTATCTGATGAATCACTTGTTCTCTGGAGTTCTCAGAGTCGGAATGGGTGGCTATAGAGCAGTGAAAGCAATGCTGTACGATTTGCCAATTTTCCCATGCTGGCCACCATTGTTTGAACACTCCACTCCCTCCCTCGCTTTGCCACTGGAGTACACTTGCTCCAAAAGAAGCAGAAAAGCTTGCTCCTCCGACTCTGCCATTCAAATTCAACATGAGAGCCGTAACACGACTACCCTGGCTGGACTTAACCGTAACACGACTACCCTGGCTGGACTTATGTCGTCGAGCCCAGCTCTCGATTTGTTCCAGTGTTAGGAGGTTACCGTGAGACCAGAGTGGATAATTTGCGTTCACCTTCCGAAATGTGGGCTTCAGAGAATGCACAGGTGTTTTCGGGCCGTCGCTGCTTTGAAACATGAATAAAGAACAGGAGTGTTCTTTGCCGCTGTGGCTCGGTAGTTACGGTGCTCGGCTGGTGAACCATAAAACACGGGTTTCATTTCAGTGGAGGTGAAATGCTGGAGGCCCACATATTGCATGATGTTGAAATGTTAAAGAACCTCAGGCGGTTGAAATAACCAAGGACCCTTTACCAGATGCATGCCTCATAATTGTGTCATGGCTTGAACACGTAAAACTGGAGAGGTTACTATAAAGTGAAGCTGACCACTGTCAATATAACCGATAGGGCAAGTCAGTGGTTCGTGGTACTTAAAATATAAGTGCGTGACTTTAACAGAGACGGAGGATGACAAAAACAAATGCGTGCTACCAGCTGCAGGTATATTCAGAAAGCACTGACCTATATATGTAAACAGGTGAATGTTCCGCAATAACATCCAGCGAAAATACAAATGCTGTGAAATAAAAAATAAGTGCCGCACCTTGCCAAAGCCTTTCCAAGAACCCGAGCTCTTTATCAACAGGCGAGGTGGTTATTTTTCTATTTCTCCTCACTTGTATGTTTATTGCTACGTTCTGTCATTATATCCTCCTGAGTTCCAGCTATGGGGATTTGTCCAAAATATTGGACATGAAATACCCCATCACTACAAAGATCTCAGCATGTTTTCTTCCTCAAAAACCACTTGTCCAATATTTTGGACATCTACTGGCGCCCTCCATGAAGTTTTATCGAAATTGCGCCAGGAGATCACGAAACAAAGAAGAAAACATGGTGGCGTTCAACAGGGCAATCTTCTAGAAGTTAAACGGCGAAAGTTAAGGTCCACTTTTCTGTTGGTTTTTTATTATTTGTTACATTTTGAATAATAGCTTGCAGTTATTCCGGAATTTGTCACAATTTTCTTCAGTAGCCTTGCTTTGTGTTGCTTCAGGCCCACTACTTAACGCTTTAATTAAGTTTCAGCGTCCAATTAGTTGGACATCACGCCATACCAAAAGCACAGGCATCACGGAAATAATAAGCTTCACTTTTTATCTTCGTCATCTACACACCCAGTTGTGAAGGTTTCAGAAAATTCCGTGGACCAAAATCCAACCCGGAAGTCAGGAGGATATGTTACTACAGAACATATTTATCTTTCAATACATGTGTCAGTGCATTCAAAGTAAGGTTTCAGTTGGTAGTATGCGCTCGTGCTTTCCTTACTAAATCCCTGTTAAAGTCACGCGCTCGTACTTCTAGTATCAGGCTAACCACTGCTTTGATTTTGCTTGAATTTCGCAGCATGATTACCCTGATCATTTTTTTGTGATGCTTAACGCTGCTGCTTGCCGGCTTGTGTAAGAAAAAATATATGTAAAAATGCTTTGTCAGAGATTTTTTTTTTCACAACTGATGCATGGAACATGGCAGCTGGAATGTCATATGATTACTTTCAAAATTTCTGTTGCTGTGGTAACCGAGATTCTGTTAATGGTGAATATATAACGAAGTCTCTGCTGCCAGGATAGTACGGTTCCTGTTAATAGAGTTTTGGTAACGAGACTGCAGTGGAATATCTTTTACTAGGATAATGAAGATTCTGCAAATGCAGATTTCAGTAGAGGAATCTGTTGCCAGAGCAGTAGGGCTGGGCTAGCCTTACTGTTACATCATTCACATTGCTCTCTGTAGAGTGTAATCTGTGCAGCAAAAGGGGTACAACAAAATACATATTGACACAATGTGACTTAAAGTTACGCGCGCTAGCTGATACTTGTGCCCTCCAGATGTTTTGCGACACACGAGCCTGCGGGGCCCAGCTGTGCGCGACCCGTGTTGGAAAAAAGAACGTGGAGGAAGAGGCAGAAGTGAATGCTCGAGACAACCAGGAGATTTCGTTCTAGCTGTGTTATTATTCGCGGGCTCAAGTTCACCCTGCCCACGTTAGCTTATTAAAAGTGTTCATTGAACCGTGCGTTAAAATCTGGTGGAAGTGCTGGGTGCGATGCCAAGCCCTTCTCGTGTGACTGAGCACAGTCCGGAACCACAGCGATTTGGACCCAACGAGCTGACGCCTGTTCATCAGCGCTGCAGTCGACGCCTACATGGTGAGAGTCCTGAATTTTCACCTTTATCGACTTCCCTTAGAACCTCAACGGCTGTGAACGGGTACGCAACCGACATGACAGCTCAGGTCACTCCAGCCAACATTGTAGTGAACCAGCCAATGCTACCAAAGCCTCTCCACGGCGAAAGCTACGAGGACGCAGAGGAACTGGCTTGAACACTCTGAACGTGTCTGCAAAGGCTAACGGATATGGGGAAGAGCGCAAACATGGAAGTGTTTGCTTCGCGCTGGAAGATAGCGCACGAACGTGTACAAAAACCACGAAGCTACCTTCCGGTCGTGAGATGGCTTTCGACAGGAGCTGCTCGCTGCTTTCCTGAACACAGACCGCAAAGAGAGAGCTGAAGCTGCGCTCTAGACAAAAAATCAGCGAAAGAACGAAACTGTCGCCATGTATGCGGAACACATGTCTGGCCTATTCCTGCCGAGCGGATTCAAATATGAGCGAAGACAGGAAGCTGCGTCATCTGATGCGAGGCGTAAGCAAGAACTCTTTGCCGGACTAATTCGAAGCCCGCCGCACACCTGTCGCCGAGTTTCGTTCTGAGGCGACTACAATGGAAAGAACGCTACAACAGCAAGCAAGGTTATACAACCGGGATGCGATCATCACTTCCTTGGACATGTTGCCACCAGTCTTCAATAACGGCATGGAAGCACTACGCGAGCCGGTGTGGTCTGTTTTGTGAGAAGAGCTCCAGAAGCAGCACCTTGACCAAAACACTCCAATGATTACGTCTCTAGCCGATGTGACCCGTGAGGAGCTCAGGCAGGTGGTACGTGAACCTTCGAGCAACGCACAGCCAGAGCCGCCACTACAACAGAAGGCGAGAATGATGTATGCCGATGTGCTACTATGAGGACCTCCAGGATGTGTGGACGTTGTGGTGGCTACACCTATGCAGTACCCGATGCCGCCGAGCGCCCTGCAGCCAACGCCAGAGGAGAGACTAAGGAAGAGCGATGTCTGGCGCACTCCTGACAGGATACCGCTTTGTTACCACTGTGGGGAGGCTGGTCATCTCTACCGAACGTGCCTCTACCGCCAGGCAGAACTACGTGGTTTTCCTGTCAATGCACCTCGACCACGAAATGGTGAACGTCCATTCGAAATTGCAAAATACCTGTCAGGTCGTCAATGTTCAAGTGGCTTCCAACGACACCAACCTTGTGCAACAACAACGGGGAGGTATAGGTCGCCTAGCCCCCGACCTTCAGCAAGCTCCCCAAGGTCTCGTTCCACAAGCCTGCGTCGGGAAAACTAGAGTCAGCAACCTGTGGAGGCAAGGCCGCTGTCGACGCTAATGCAGAAAAACCTCCATTGCTGACTCTGAACGACGACCGACTCAGAAACCGGTGCTTCGATAGTGACGTTGCTTCCCGTTTGCGTGTGTTCGTTGACGGCTACGAAGTCATCGGACTGGTAGATACAGGCGCAGGTTATTCAGTGATGAGTAGTGAACTTTCTAAAATACTGAAGAAAGTGCTGACTTCTTGGACTGAACCACAAGTTCGCACAGCAGGAGGGCACCTCATCGACCCTACTGGAATATGCACAGCAAGAATCGGAATACGGGGTTTCGCGTATGTCGCCAGTTTTATTGTGCTGCCGGAATGCTCAAGAGACTTGATTATCGGCATGGATTTATTATGAGCTAATGGTGCTGTAATTAACTTGCGAGAATCTTGAGTCTCATTCCCGACTAGGCACGCGATTGCTACCTTTGAAACGAAAGAAAACGTATATGACCTTTGTATTGTAGATGATAGCGTCATGGTGCTACCAAAATCGAGCATATCTGCCAGCATATCTCGCGCTGGTGACAAGAATGCACGCGTGTGAGGCACACGTGCTGACAAGTTTACGCTCGTGTTTTGCAGAATGCGGTATCACCTTATGTCCCAAGTTGTCTGCTTTTGTTCGAAACTTCAATTTAGGACACATACTCTCTTTAGCCGACTGCGTCTTTCGTCAAAGGCATCTGTATATATTTCTGCACTATACTGTAGGTAATACTTTGAAAATAAGCTTTCATTTCAAAACTATTTCTTTCTTGGCATCTTTACAGCAGTGTGACCTTACTTACTGTTCATGGCTTGTGAATTATTATGGCGTGCAGGCCATTCACTAGCATAGCCAGAAATTTTTGAAGGGGGCATTTAAACTATACTTTACGTGGGTTTACGTGTGCATTTGTGTTTGTACATGAACAGTAGAATTCAGCTAAAACGAACGCCGTTTGATTGAAATTTCTGCTACAACAAAAAATTCACGATACCCCGTCAGCCGTTCATAGGACTCAATGCGTAAATATTGTCGCCACAACAAACACTTTTTCTTCTAACGAAATTTTATGATATGATTCCAGGCTCAGATACTTATTGCTGTGCTCTAAACCCAATCTTTAACATTTAGATGCATTTTCGGAGCCTGAAAATGCGTCAACGAAGTCTGAAACACACATTGGCACCACCAGAAGCCACGGCTATACTGCCGTCATTCAGCAAGCATGAGCGCCGCCATTGCTCGATAGCGATGGCAGTGAGACTGCCTTGCTTTTGTTTTGCCACTGGCTTGCTTTTGAGCCGCAGACAATCCAGAGCTGAAGCTCAATCGCTCAGTTCATGGTGTCCTTCTCGCAGCTCTTCGAGGAAGGAATAAACTGTTGCAGCTGCTGGGTGCAACCGCGGCATGATGCCTTTTCCAATTCCAATGCTTATCATTATGTTCGGGCTTGGCCAGTGTGGTAACTAATCAGAGTGGCTGTTTGCCCGTATTATCAACAAAATCAGCTAGCCGCGAGTGATGGATGATAAGAATGGTATAGAATAATGCAAAAGTCGCCGCTCCACGATACCCTGCCTCCATCTCGGCGTTGTCAGATACTTTTGACGACAGACAGCTGCTGGTGTTAAGGTGTTAATGCAACTATTCGGTTCGTTCACAAAAGCAGTTTTAGGCATTGTTTCAGCATGCTTTTCACCATGGCCTCACTATGCATGGGTGAAAATCATGTCGTGACACTGCTGGGAAAGAATAGAAAGCAGCGGACATTTTTTTGAATTTTGAGAATAAACATTTCTTTTGTTTTGCGAGCTCAGATCAGCTATATTTTTTTTCGGTTTCACAACAATGAAATTTTCGCTTCAATGAAATTTTTTTCGTGCCCTGTCAGTTTCGTTGTAGCGGGGTTCGACTGTATATGCACATACAAAAAAAATATGATTGCGGGAGTGCTCAGTTCCCTCTCTCTGCTACGCCAGTGACACGATTGTTACATCTCCGAGCCGCAGAGGATTCATTTTGACTATTTGCGTCAAAGATGGGTGGTGCCCAGAAATGCTTGATTCTTATTTGTCCTCGTTTTGCGATCTGTGTTTGCACACGTGTAAGGACTCGACCATAGGTCATCTACATGTGCTGCCGCACTATCAAAGCCAGTAGTGATCTGGGTTTCTGTTGTTTATTCTCTCTCGCAGCTTTCAAAGGAGAACTACCTGAAGGGCGCCACATGCGTGTAGAAAACAAGACGTTTTATTTCGACATTGGGCAGAATACCCGAGGCATCTACATGCGTATCTCAGAGGTGAGTGGCTTGCCAAGGGGTTTCTCAAAGACACCACTTTTGTGTGTGCAACATTCCATGCTACTGGCTCTCCTGCCGGCCTAAAGGGATGCTTAAGTAGTTTTTCCAAGTTTGGTAAAACTTTGTGATTGCCAAGGACCGACGTTATTGTCAACTGTTTCCTAATTTTTTCAGTGGTTGTTGCAGCAGGAGGCTTAGAATACACAAAAGAAACGTTTATCTTACTTCGCTACGCCAGCGCTCCGAAAGTGTTGAAGTGGTAACGAACCATGGCATCTTTGGCAGCTGCAGCAGAGTTGCGCTGCGCTGCGGCGAAAGGTTGCCACCACTGACTGATCTGACTTGTGACAGCACTATTTATCTACCCTGAGGTTCAACTAAGTTAGGGACGATAAAAGTTCCGCAGCTGGGTTACAACATCTGCCATAATGACAAACAGCTGCGTCGGTGCGGACAAGCTTGTCCTGTATCTTTAACGGTGCATGCTTTAATGGTGCAGTTGTTGTAGATGACGCGCTATACAAAAGATGACATCAGCACATTTGCTCAGCATCTCAAAAAGCTCTGGGCTGCAGTGCTACTTTATTTTGCAAAAAAAAAAAAAAAAAATGTGTCCACTTTTTTTGAGGACTGTCACAGCAGTTTTTGATTACAGCATAGGTCAAACTGTGATTAGCTTGTTCAAGGTATTTTTATAGAAAAGTGTAGTTTGCTTTAATGAATGCACACATTGTCAGATTCATGGTGCAAAAGGGGCCCTTGCCTGTCAAATCAGTTCTGGTGACACTTAAGCTCTTGGTCTCTTCTAGCGCATTGTACCACGGGGTACAGTACTCGGGGCAGCTCGCATTCGTACATAGACAAAGAAAAAAAAAGCGGACAAGAAATGAAGACAAACTGCTTTTTTACTTTTACTTTGGCTGAGGCTGGGGGCTAAACACGCCTGTCGACTGGCAGCAGTTACTGATTGGAACTTATCTGAATGCTGCAATCTTGTACCTCATATACTCTAACATAAGCAAGACAGATTAATGCCAGGACTGTGATTTTAGATCCACTCAGGAGCACATAATGCTTATGCGAAGAGGCACATACAAAAGGCGATAGTACAGTTTGTTTACTGAAGAGAATGTGGGCACATCACCCTGAAACAGTGGCACAAAACGATCATCTAAATCGTCATCTTTTTCATCGTACACTCAGACCTCGATATAACGAACCTGGATATAATGACATACCTGTTGTAACGAAGTAAATAAAAATGGTCTTGCAATAAATACAGTGTTAGGAATAAACCTTTATAACGAATATTCGGATATAGCAAAGTTATTTTCATGGAAGATGCAACTTTGTTATAGTGAGGTTTAAGAGTATTTGTTCTTTGATGGCTTTTTTTAGCATTGTTCCCGACGATAAGGGACCATTGCAGAACTTGTAAAATCGGGGTCAGACACACCAGCGTAAAGGTCTCGCATCTGTTGACAATATGGAAATGTCAAGGGATAACAAATAGCGATGGGAATGCAGCCTCTAGCAATCACTGGTGTGTGTGCTTGGAAAATGCATTGCTGAAGCTCTGCCCTTGAAGATCAACTTTGGGCTGTCGAAGCGGGCTGAGGAAGCTGCCAGGACTAAGAGTCTCGAGGGCACCTGTCTGGCATTGCACAGTGTCGTTGAGGCAGCGAAGTCCGTGAAGGTCATTTGAGAATTGGACTGGTTGCATGTAAATGAGTTGCTGCTTGCGAGTCTGAACTCTGTCTCTTCATTGGCAAAGCACTGTTTTATAATGTCCAAAGCTTCACAGTAGCAGCTTGCAGTTGATGGAATTCTTGCAATAGCCCGTGCCACATCGTCAGTCAAGACCCAACGTAGATAGGCAAACTTGTCCACGACAATGAGCCCGCCATTAATGTTGCTCATCTCGTTGAATTGCTTCCGGATAAGATGTTCACAATGATAGTTGGCGAGCAAACTTTATATTGTCAATTTACAGAAGTTGAAGAATGAGTTAGTTGGCATGTGCATAGCATGGGTTCGACTGGCATAGCCAGTGGTGTACAGTTTGGTGATTTTTAAAGGGTCCCTAAACAACCGCCGACAACACAAAGCATGAGCGTGACATTCTAGCATTTCGTCTTCTCGGCACGATTTGGAGTGCCACCAGTCTGTTCACATGAAGTCTCAAGAAAATAAGTGCTTGATTGGTCCATAATAAGGAATATCAGTAGCGAACTGTCTGTGACCCTGCTTTGCCGTGTGGTCGCATGCCCGTTCTGCCTTTTCACACATAAGCCCATGATTGATTGGTTTCACTCTCTTTGTGTGTTCCTGACGTCTCAAGTGAAGATGGGAGCATGAAGCCAAAAAGCGCGGAATTCCAATAGTCCCAACGCTTAACGGAGACATTGTTTGCGTGATTCAGGAAGAAATGAGTTACAAGGAGAAGATTGCACCTGCAGGAAGGGTAGTGAAAATGAGAAGGAAACCACTTTTTTGTCTTTGAGATCGGAGTGGTTTAAAGAGGAATGTCTACGATGTTGTGAGCACCGCATATGTTGCTGTGGCTCTATCCTTACGGTTCACCACCTGCTCAAACTTTGCTTGAGCTTTCCCGGTAAATAGTAGTGGAAGACGTCGAAAGTCAGTAGCGATCCAGCCAATGCAAGGGTGATTGAGGGATTTGCTGAGGAGGCCGAGCTGCTTTTTTGTAAAGTCGTCTGGACCAAGCATTGGTTCAATTGTTATTGATAAGAAACATTAACTGCAATATCTGGGCTTTGCGCTTGAGCTTGAGTGTTTCCGTGCTTGGGCTCTTCGGTGAGCAGGCAATGATTGCGGTAGGCAGAAACTCGATTACCTTAAAATCATTGACGAGGGTTGCTATTCGGACGAGCTTCGGTGCCACTTGAGGGAAAGCACGTATCTCCTTGCGTTAAAACAAGTAACAGAGGGTGTATTTGAAATACAGTGTAGCCTAGCTTGCGGGTAGCTCAGATTGGAACACACGCAGGCATTTTTTCATTATCGCTGATGTTTCAACACACTGCACGCTTGTGGACCAGAATGAGAGGCAGAGAGTGCGAGCCAATGTTAAAGGGCGCTGACACACAATAATGACCTCTCATTTTTTTGCTGCAATGTGTTGCCAGGGCCCTGTCAGTCATAACACAGCACATCATTCGATTCGGTGCACGACAAATGATTAGGTACAGGCTCCTCATTACCAATTGGGCTTACTTTTGATTGGAGAGAGCTCCAAACAAAAATGACAAGCCGCCGGGTGCAACTATCACTACTCATCGGGTGCAACGCTCAGCCACGTCAGCACACAGAACTGCGACGCATTTCTTCACATTGTGCGTCAAGAAGTCCGTTTTAACAGGAAACAGGACAGCAGTGTCGCCAAACATAAAACTTTGAATGCGTGCACCGTGGCCCCAAACTCGCATGCAGCCGCCATGTAGAAGTCTGCTGGACGAAACACAGCAAAGAGAAAAAAAAAAATAGCAGCTTTGAGCTTATCATAACTTCTTGTATTGACTACAGCGTGGTGATCTGGGAGAAGTAAGGGGGTCGCCGTGGGTCACCTTTGAGGGGGACTGCTTGATTCTCTATAAAAACTTCCAAATTCCTGTAAAATACCTTCACGTTATTTCGCACGTGGTACGGTGATTACTCGAATCTAACGCGCACCTTTTTTCCGGTTAAGCGAGTTCATAAATCACATGCGCGTTAGAATCGAGTACGATAAAAAAATGAATACGGTCATTCTATTGCTATCGGCATTTCCAAAATGGCCCTACGCGCGTTGGCATGGCACGTCGGCCATTTGTGCCTGTATTTCTTATGTGCGGCACTTCGTACGTGTGCTGAGGAGTTCGTCATCTGGTAGTGCATTAGCATCGACGGCATGGAAGGGCCGACTCTGAAAACTCGACGAGTGCACCACGATGCCGCTTTTAAAAGAAAAGTCATCGCGTGTGCCGAAACGGACGGAAATCTGGCCACATCGCTGTCGTTCGGAGTTCCCGAAATGTGCGTGCGGGACTGGCGGAAACAAAAGCAAAATATTGTCGACAACAAATATTCACGTAAAGGCTTCAGTGGACCACAGCAGGGTTGGTTTCCTGCAAATTGAAGAGCTGCTCGGCTGAGTATGTGCTTGAGCAGCGAGCGGCACAGTGGCTCGTGACGACAGAACTGCTCCAAGTGCAGGCTATGCAGTTAGCCTTAGAAAAGGGGCTAATGCCGAGCCAGTTTAAAGCGAGCAGGTGCTGGCTAACTAACTGTATGAAGAGGAAAGGCTTTTCCCTCAGAAGGCGAACGGGCATATGCCAAAAGTTGCCGGAGGAGTACGAAGAAAGCTTCACAGTTTTCAGAGGTTCGTCCTAAACTTGCGGCACAACAACGGCTACCTGCTTGGACAAATCGGAAATGCCGATCAGACGCCTCTTTACTTCGACATGCCTGGCACCACAACTGGCTGAGAAGAAGGGGGCAAAGCAAGTTCGCGTGCTGACATCGGGCCATGGTAAAACTAGAGTGACGGCAATGCTCTGTTGCACGTCAGATAGGCACAAGCTTCCCCCGTACCTCAATTTAAACGGAAGACGCTCCCGAAAGGAGTCGTTTTCCCGAGTGGTGTGATTGTGCGGGCCAACGAGGAAAATGGGTGCGCGTTGCAATCGATGTCTTACTTTTTTTTTTTTTCGTCGTGGAAACCGGGTGCGCGTCATAATCGAGGGCGCAGTAGAATCGAGTAAATACGGTATATACATGTTCATGGAATTCGATTCGGCAGGCTATTTTGGTCATGAAATTTTGTGTCAGTGCCCTTTTAAGGAGGCCTTTCCTTATGGGGAAAATGGGGGCGAGCAAAGCTTGGTGTGTGCAGTGCCTGCACTACTACTTCTTTTTATTTGGCATTGTGCCCTAGGACTCGCGTCCTGGTGCTGGAGCGAGAGGTCGTGTGTCCATGTGCAGGCAACGATGAAATGCGA